TATTTGGCACATATGTAGTGCTAATATAGCTCTATAAAGTTACTGGTCAGATTTTTTTAAAATCTCTTAGATAAAAAGTTATAGCCATTTAAAAAATTGAAACACTTCATGTAACTGTTAAGTATAGACTTCCTGCATCATACATGAAAAGGTGGTCAATTTTAGGCCAGATAATCTCTTTATGAAAGGAATTGATATTGTGAAGCAAGGGAATTCTGAGCTCTTTAAGTTTGTAGGAAAAAAGATTATGTGAGAGACTATGGGTATTGATAACATGCGTTCAATTCATAAAATTGTTGAAGATGCTCTCCAGGATGCTAGATTTAAGCAGTAGGATTTTAATCAGTTTATTGCAATGTCTAAATGGAAGGCTAAAGGAGGCCTTCCATACAATCAAATCTTTATGAAATAGATGAGAGAAAGAATAGCAAACAGAGAAAAAAATATAAAGATCCCTGACTCTGGTGAACGCTTTAGCTATGTTGTAGTAAATGACGGTCCTCGTTATAAAGAAGATGGCTCGAAATCGACAAGAAGAGGTGATTATATGGAGTATTCAGAAATTGCAAAAGAGTATAATATGAAGATAGATACCAGCCACTATTTAGAACAAACAGTAGGAATGTGTGCACGCTTTATCAATGAGGATGATAGCTTCCTACCACCCCATCAGATAAAATAATGCAGATTAAAGATTTGGATAAAAGGGAAAAGGAGATCAATGATTATTCTCAAAGAAAGGCAAAAAACTAGCTAAAAAAATATATATAAACTTTACAATAAACTTTTAGGTATTTCGATGATTCGTCTAAAGTGGATATAGATAAAATTATCGGATTATATGGATAAGTACTCTTAGCTGAAATTGCCACACTTCTGCTAGAAAACTTACAATATTATTTATATTTTTTTCTTATGCAATAATACTGGCAAACTTCAATTCCTATATTCGATCTTCTGGCCTCTGATATTCATTTCTTTTTTCGAATTTATAAGAAAAAAGGTGTTAGTATTTTTAAATATATACTTTCATAATATAATGGCTGAATTGCGTGACCAACTTTCTCAGTATATAAGTTTCGAGCCTAGCGAAATTCGTCTTTCGATCACAAAAGAGGATAGACAGGTATTTCGTAAAATAATATCAGAACAGAGAGGGGTGAGGAATATAGTAATGAATGACTACTGATTTTTGCTACATCATAGGTATAATGATAAGGGGGTAATCGGATCTATATTGGCTGGTTATTAGCATGTACAGTATCTCAAGCTGAAAAGATCTTAATTAATCCGCCTAAAGATTTATCAGAAAAGGTATTAGCTCATATTGAAAAAAGATTCAAAGAAGTTCCACTAGTACCAGTACTTATATGGTAGATATTTAGATGTTATCCCCGGCCTATCTAGTATCTCTTCTTTATTTATATATTTTTTGTGGGCAGGATATCTGACTTTTTTTTTTGGCATAATGCTTTCCAAATTCCATAGCTTTTTTACAATGACTAACCATATAATTACGATTAATAGAAAAAGCAATATCGAGCAGGTGAATACCAATGATAGTAATTTGTCTATATCGATAGAGTTTCCTGAACCACCTAATGAAATCTTTTCTTTGCAAATAGTAGCAGGTATGATTTGTTCTGAAGAAGCACTAGAGCTTTCTGGCTCATTATTTTTTTCGCCACCACTTTTTGTATATGAATCGGTTCTCTCAGATCCATCCGGCTGATTATTCTTATCAAAGTATCTGGGGGAAATGAATTAATCACAGATTGAAGTGATTTCACTTCCTCTAATTTTGCATGATATTCAGCTTTATATTTGGCGAGAGATGTCTCTGTGCAAGCATATTGAGAAAAAAGTTTAGAATTTTTAACCTTCAACCATCTGGCCTCATCATTGATCTTCATGTATTCATTTCGCAACTTAGTATTATAATCTCATATCTTGGATGAGTCTTGTAAGATGCAACGTATCTCTTTTTCAAAATCATATATTTTCATTTATTTATATTAGCCATAAACATATAAAAAAAACTTTGTTAGAGAATAATTACAATAAATAAAAAATGAACATGAAGGTTATCGATCGTTTTATTATTATTTTAGATAGTGTTACGGGTTAATCTGTGACTTTAGTCACAAACAACCTAGTCCAAATGGCGAGCACTTAATCGCTTTGCTATGACTAATTTTCAAATTATATTAAGGCAAGTACTTTTATGTTTATTACTTAAGTGAACTTTATTAATTACGAAAGAGACTAATTCCAGCTAACTCTTTATTATTACAATCGCTTCTACTATATACACACTTCGGGTCACATTACTTACATCATAATTCGTTCATATATGATCATACGATCGTTTGACTTTTATATTAATAATAAATTACCTCATATTTCATGCATACTGATTACCTGACTTCGATTGCATAATTGATCGTTACTCGATCCCTTAATCCTGATCGATCACTTACTTATCACATGCATCACGTGCACAAGATAATGATCGTTCGTTCATTTTACCTTCATTCCCATACAAGTTCATCGCATACTGTAAATCACCATGACACAAGCTAGAGCCCCAGGAACTTCGTCCCCGAAGTTTTCAGCGTGAACAGGACCTACTTTCCAACAATATCTGCAAAACTAATCCCCAAATTCGCATAATTTTCTACAAGTTCTCTAGCAAGACTCTTCCACGATCGAATATTCTTCTAATTCGGATTCCAAGTAAGTGTTTACCTTTCCTTCGCTCTTTTCTTTTCTTTGAGCTTTTCACATTATTCTTAATCGTTTTACCAATCTTTGTCTTCACTTTATCATTTGCGTAATCATTCCCCACTCGATTTATTACCACTTCCTCAACATCATTTTTCACTTTTACCTCCTTTTCTTTTACTTCGTTATCCCCTAACTCATCTACTCTATTCATTATGTCCACCTTGCCCTTCTCATTTCTTTCGATTTTCATCCCTGATTCGTAGACACGATTAAGATGTTCATCGCAACAAGATACCTCATCATGAAATTCATATTTACAATGATATGTGTATTTCCTTTTTTCATCATATTTTTCTCTAACATTTCCTAGTTCAATCCTAACAATTTTTGCTCTACCATCGGGAGTTTTATCTCCATTATCGTTATCTTTCATCCCACATATCACCAGATCATCATTATCATCCATCACTAAATTATCATTTTCAACACCAATCTCTCCCACATCTTCATTAAGTCCAACTACGGCATTTTCACTATTAGATCCCTTCAGCATGGT